TATATATAAAATGATGTTTTATTATATATTATATATATAGTTACTTAAAATCAGATGAAATTCGTTTAGTATGATTATTTTTACACGAGCTAGTATAGTGTATAGTATTTATCAAAACTACTACTACTTGTCATTATTAAAACTGTTCTATTAATAAAGGCCATTAGAATTCCCTAGATAGGTTGCAAGGTAATTTTTTTTAAAGTATTGTTTTATTTGAAACTAACAGTGACATGGAATGTTTTCAATTTAGGGTCCAAGTGCCAGTGCTTATGTAACCTATATCCGGTCAGAAGATGCTCTTAGAGCCATACAGTGTGTCAACAATGTGGTGGTAGATGGCAGAACACTTAAGGTAATATAATTTTTTTGACATTTTTTAAGGGCGAAGGGATAAAGTATAATTAGAGGAGAGCCTAGCATTTACATAATAAATTTGAAGATAAATTAATTTGAAGATTGCTTCTTAGGTACCCATACCAACCTATGATGCATACTCTATTTACTGCCAACTTATGTAGGGTTCTTTTTACCGGTTAGAAACAGACACAGTCAATGTTTGGGAATAATCTTTAAAATCTTTTGGGACCAGGAGATGGTGTAACGGTTACTTCACTAGACTCCCACACAGTTGACCATGGTTGAGTCTCGGACCTGGCGACTTAAAAACTCATGCCAGGCACGTGTGTGTGTGACCAAGATCCAAGAGGAGAATGAAAGAGAAGGGATTGAAGCACGGCTACCACCACCCCACCTCTGGCCCTGGGGTGATTTAGTGCACACGCCCTATAGCAAAAATCTCTCTTAAATTTTTTTTTTTAATTTCTACATATATGTGTATCTTTTTTTAAAATGGAACCATATCTCATCAGAAAGAGGTAATGGTTCTGATTTATTTTTCTTGAATATTTGGACATTGAGGTTTAAGAAAAGAATCCTATCAAGCAGTACTTGATGTAAATGGAAGAAGTATCATATCATTAGAAAAAGGAAATTACTTTCTTAGGTGCTTAACTACTCATAACTTAGAACAGACTTTTGTCTGTCTCTTCTTCTGATGTCTAGGGTAAAAGATTTTGGTATTTGAGTTCTAGAAACCGTAGCCAAGGTTGTTTCTTCCAAATGAACATCCTTGGTAGTAAATCCTGCTATTAATAGTTTAGTACCCTTGTACACACAATCAATCTTGTTGTTTTGTTAAATTTGTGCCTTACTTTAGGTGAGGTAAAAATACTGAATATGCAAATTCTCATTGTGGTATCAGTTCACATTTTGAGTCTTTTTCCCCCTCCTCTTCTTTCTATAGGCATCTTTAGGTACAACAAAGTACTGCAGTTACTTCTTAAAGAATATGCAGTGTCCCAAACCCGACTGCATGTATCTACATGAATTGGGGGATGAGGCGGCCAGCTTCACAAAAGAGGAAATGCAGGTAGTAAAGTCATGTGAATTACCAACTTTACAGAAAAGGAAATAATTTTTCTTTGTAAGTTAAAATTGCAAAAGCAAACATTAGGATTTGATTTAAAAAAAAAAAAAACTGGTATTACTTTGTAATAGCATTTTCCAAACAAAGTGTTAAATAGATTATCAGTTCTGCAGAATGTTATTATACTATAAAAACTTTCAACTAAGTTTGACAGTGCTAAATTAATGACGATAAACAGGTTTCTTTGTGGCAAGACTTAACAGATTTTTTATACACTAATACACATCCAGGAGGGAATGTACAGCCTGTACAACCAGCACTTAACTGACCAAAGAAAATACTTTGGGAAATGCTGCTTTTAGGAGAATGTCAATTAAATGAGAGCAGAGTGGGAGACTGTAATCTGTTGCTTTAGGAACAGTCTCTACAGAGCATGCTAGGAAACAGTAATCTATCAAATGATGCTGGTAAGCTAACGTTTAGTAAAATGATTCTCCCCATGAAAATGTCCGCTGAGTTAGTATCCTATAAAAGGTGAATTGAAGACGTAATATCCTATGTTTTTTTTTTACATTTCCTCTTCTCCTGTCTCCTTTCAATTTATAGTATAAACATGCCTTTACAAGTAAAAATGTTGACCATACGGCATTTTAAATGAGGATTATACCAAAGCACAATTCTGCACTTCCCTATTATAGATGAGGACTTCAGATTGTTGCTGTGGACTTTTGCAGGAATACTTCTCACTTAGAAGGTGGGGGGCACTCATTGCTACCTTTCATTCTCCAGGTCAAACTAGAGAAAGTCTGGTAGGGGCTCCTCTAAGAGCAGATGGTTAAATAAAATGAAGTACTACATTTTTTGACTTGGAGTTAATACAGATTAAATCCCATTATAATAAATACATTGGAGCTTCTTGACAGTATGGTCTTTATGATTCAAAAACTTAAAATAAGGTCCACTTGAGCCCATCTGCAGTGGTTGCACACTGCTGAAATGCTGTGCTATCCATAGACGGGGGCCACTCTGGAAGTCTGGGATCAGATTCGCAGTCCAACCCGAAGACTAGGTGTGGTGGTGTGCACCTTTAATCCCAGCAACTAGAGGAAGCTGAGATAGGTAAGAGGGTCACAAACTCAGGGCTCACTTGGGCAAATTAGGAGGCCCTGTATTTTAAAAAAATAACATTAAAAGAACCCTGGCATGATGGCACTTGCCTGTAGTTCCAGCTGGGAGGCTGAGACAGGAGGATTGTGACATGGCCAGACCTTGTCTTAAATAAATAAATGAATCGTTGTGTCTGTTATTTAGCAGGGACAGATGACTACTGATTTCTTACTTATTCAATAAATGCTTGGGGTGGAGAGATGGTTTTGTTTTTCTCTTTTTTTGAATGTAATTTTCTTCAAAGAAATCTAAGCTAGGACCATTTAAAACTGAATTTTAACCAGTAAAGGGTACATTTTACTCACCTGTATTATTAAAGCGAAAATTTGTATCAGAGAAATTCCAAGCCCCCCAGTCGATTTAATGTAAGTTGTTATTGAATAATCACAGATGTGTGGATAGTCCTTTGGAGTTTATTTGTAATGGGATTTAACCTGTCCTTATGAACTGCCTGGTAGAGTCATTTAAATATCAAGTTGAGATCTTTGTGGCCTATGAAAGTCAAGTCTTCTGAAGTGTTGATTACAGAAAGAATTTGCAAGGCTTTTCATGTTTTAAAGATTTTAAGCCCACATCTAAATGTAATGTTCCTTAAGAATTTTAAATTCATTTTATAACGTCCTGAATTCATCTTGCTCTTCTTTACCTGGGTTTAAAATTCCTTTGAAAGGGGGTTTCTTTGTTAAAAAACGCTTCCTCAGTGTAGAAAAGGAATTTGAATAAATGAAATAATAGCAAGAATCAGAAAATCTTTGCTTACTGTGTAACTCAATATTTAGTGCCTTAGGAAATATTTAAATAGGTCCACTTGAAACAGGGGAGTGGCTTCTCAGAACAGGAAAGATTCATTGTGCAGTGCAATACATGATACAGTTAAATGCTATTGCCCTCACTTGTTACTGTTTTTTTGTTTTGTTTTGATCTGTTCTGTTTTGGTTTTGCCATAACATCTATTCAGATTATAATTTTAAAATAATACCCCCAAAGGTAAGTAAAAATGTCCTCTGGTTATGATAGATATGCAGAAAATAAAATTACTCAAAGTAGTTTCATTATCTTTTATATTTGTGTATGACAGTTGAACTTTGTGCCTAATTTTTCCCATAATATGGTGACATTGCCTTCTGATATATGGCCATCCAATTGTAGTAATCACTGTTCTCTAATGTATAGGACTGGAGTTGGCAGACTGTTTCTGTAAAGGGCCAAATAATAAATGTTTCAGGGTTTCTGGGTCATGCAGTCTCTGCGGCAACTATTACACTTTTCCTCTGTTGAAATACTACACTCTGGGGCCAGCAGGAGCATGGTGGTTAAGGCGCCAGACTCCCACATAGTTGACTGTGATTCGAATTCTGAAAAATCATGCTGGGCTCATGCACACTTGCATCCAAAATCCCAAGAGGAGAAAGGATTGCAAAGTCACCATCCCCCCAGGGGGTGATTTCTCATTTTCCCTCTCTGTCACTCTTTACACCCTATAGCAACAAAATAAAAATTAAAAATAATAAAAATACTGCACTCTATTTTTTAGCAGGAAGAAAGCCATAGACAGTATGTAAATGTGTGAATGTTTGTGTTCCAATAAAACTTTATTTACAAAAAAAAAGAAACAAAACAGGAGACTGGCTATAAATTACTGACCCTTGATCTAGAGTTTAAAATACATTAGTTTTTTGTTTGTTTGTTTGTTTGGGGTTTTTTTGAGAAGTTTTTGCTATAAGGGTGCATGTTCTCTACAGAAAGTGAGAAATCCACCCCCTGGGGAAATGGCCACGCCACAATTCCTTCTCCTCCATTCTCTTTTCGAGATCTGGAGCACACACGCACATGCACCCGGCTTGAGTTTAAGCAACCAGGTCCAGGACTCAAACCACGATCGACTACATGGAAGTTCAGCGACATAGCCATTACGCCAATTGCTGGTCTCAAAATACATTAGTTTTTATTTTACTCTTTTCTAAATAGAAGAAAGAAGAGAATAAAAAAGTGAAATCTTTACTTAATGTCAAAATAATGAATATAATAAAACTTCATCTGTAAATCAGTGTTAGTCTCTTAGGAAAGTAGATTGATGTATCAATCAATTTTGCATGGTCTTCAGAAAACTCAGTAATGACCCTTTAGAAAACTTAATTCTTATATGAATGATACAAAAGTAGGTTTAAAGTGGACCTTCTAGTTTTTTGAACTACTGAAAATGCATTTCTATAGTAGAGGTTGATGAAATGCCTTAGTTTAATGTATAGAATACATATTATATAATTTTCTTGGAGTAACTTCCATTGTTCTAGAAGTTTTATGACATTGTCCTGTCAGGTTTCTCTGACTCCATGAAAAAACTTTACATGCTTTATTTAGGACATCTTTAATCATTCAGAAGGTAATTCAGTAATTTCTACCAGCTGTTTTGTGAATCCCACTGCAGTTTTAATTTCTTCTTTTATTAGGCGGGTAAACACCAGGAATATGAACAGAAGTTACTTCAGGAATTATATAAATTAAATCCCAATTTTCTTCAACTATCCACGGGTTCAGTTGATAAGAATAAGAACAAAGTGACGCCACTGCAGAGGTATGATACGTAAGTACCGATACTAGTATAGTCAGACTTCTTCTCATTCTGTTAATTTTCTTGATATTCTACATCTTTTTCAGGCAAAATCTTTCCTGACAAGGTCAATCATTTATGCAGAATTGTTTAGCTACATGGGAAATCTCAAGCCACAATCTCTGAGTTGCCTACCCTGCCCTGCTAACACATCAGATTAGCTAGCCTCTTGATGGCCTCACCTTTTGCAGTGATTTACAGACTACTGTAAGCCCAGGGAATGACCCTTTTGTTAAAAAAGGAAATTAATGGATGTTGGATATTAAAAGTCTTGTTACCAGGACCAGCGGATGGCCTAATGGCTGTCGCTATACTCCCATGTAGTTGACTGTGGTTTGAGTCCCAGACCTGGTGGCTTAAACTCAGGCCGGGCGCATGTACATGTGTGCCCAAGATCCAGAGAGGAGAAGGGATTGCCGTGTGGCCATCCCCCTGGAGTATAATTTCTTGCTTTCTGTCTTTCTGTCTCTTGCTGTCTTTCTGGCAAGTGCACGTGCCTTAGAGCAAAAACCTCTCAAAAAAAAAAAAGTCTCGTCACCTCTGTGAAAAGGAGAATGGAAGTATCTGAAGCACTGCATGTTGGGGACACATATTCACAAATGTCCTAGGATGTCTAGTCCTCGGAATCACCGAAGTCTCATTTTCTCAGAGCAAAATACCTCATATTCACAATCTTAGTCATCTTAGGAGACAATTTGTCTCCTGTCCTCCATCAGCAACATGTTAGTAGTCTGTAGTGTCAGTTTTTGAACAGATTTATAATCTTCAGTATCAGTTCTCATTCTGATATAGTGTTCTTCATATCTTCTATTATATTTGGTTATGGTCTGTCAGAAATATTCCTTAAGTTTCATGTACTAGGATCTTTTGTTACTTTTGTGATAAATTTAATTTTTATAAAATAATTTTTAAAACTAAATAGCTGTAATTAATTTAGGTATGTTGGATGTCTTTTTTTAGTCTAAAGTTAAATTTGTTCAAGTGATGTTTTACTGTTTGATGTTAAAATAATTACAGATCCTATTTAATAGTGCAATAAAGTAAAAGACATTTTTCAAAAGTAGCTGGTAATTAACTCCTTGAATTACTTCAGTTAATTTCTTTAAGAACATATTCTCATGTTTAAATTTTTGAAGTCCTTATTTATTCTTTTTGAAAGTAAGGGTTATGTAAAATTTTTTGTGAGTTTTTTTTTTTGCTATCAGGCATGTGCACTCGCCAGAAAGACAGAAACAGAGAGACGGAAAATGAGAAATCACCCCCCAGGGGGGATGGCCATGCCTCAGTCCCTATTTCTCCTCCATTCTCCTCTCTGGATCTTGGGCACACATGCATAGGATCCTGGTGTGAGTTTAAGCCACCGGGTCCAGGACTCGAACTGCAGTCGACTACATGGGAGCCCAGCAACATAGGCATTATGCTAATTGCTGGTCCCAAGGTTATTTAAATATTAAGGGCTATTTATTATTATTATTATTGCTATGTTTTAGAGCAAGAGATTTTTGTTATAGGGTGTGTATACTCACCAGAGAGACAGAGAGAGAGAGATACAGAAAGTGAGAAATCACCCCCCCCAAGGGGAATAGCCATGCCATAGTCCCTTCTCCTCTAGTCTCCTCTTGGGATTTTGGGCATACATACACAAGCACCCACCATGAATTTTAAGCCACTGGGTTGGGGACTTGAACCCCGATCAACTACATGGGAGTCCAGTGATATAACAACACCATCTGCTGGTCCTTATTTTTTACTATTTTTAAAAATAATCTTATTTTTTAAATTTGCTATAGAGCACATGTGCTCACCAGAGAGAGACAGGGAGAGAGAAGGAGAGTGAGAGAGAGAGAAAGAAGAAGAAAGTGAGATAGCAAGTCTCCAGAACCAGAACTTGAACCACAGTCAGCCATATGGGAATTCAGTCCCCAACCACTATACCACCTACTGATCCCAAGGACTATTTAAATACTTATTTATACCCAAATGCTGCACTTATATATAAATATGTAGGCCACAAAATAAAACAGTAAAGTATGTGAAATTTGTTTATATCAAAGCTGAGAATAAAAGCCAAATGCAGGGACTTCTAGGTTGAAAAGCTTCGACTCTTTTCCCTGAGTTTTTTGTACTTACCCTTTTCTAATCTCTTTATTTTATTTATTTATTTTTTTGAGTGATTTTTGATATAGGGTGCGTGTGCTCTCTGGAGAGTCAGAAAGCAACAAATCACCCCTAGGTGGGATGGCTATGCCACAGTCCCTTCTCTTCTATTCCTCTCTTGGGATTTTGGGCAACATGTGCTTGGCATGAGTTTTAAGTCTCTGGGTCCGAACTCAATCCATGTTTGGCCACATGGGAGTCCAGGGGCTTAATTGTGACCCCACTTGCTGGCCCCAATATTACTCATCTCATTGGTTGCCACCTCTGTAGTGTTTGGTATAAGAATGAGATTATTGGGACCAGCAGTTGGTGTAATGGCTATGGTCGCTGGACTTCAGTGTAGTTGACTGCGGTTCAAGTTCGAGACCCAGTGACTTAAACTCACACCGGGTACGTGTGCGTGTGTGCCCAAGATCCTGAGAGGAGAATGGAGGAGAAGGGATCGTTGTGCTGCCTTCCTCCCTCGGGGGTGATTTCTCACTTTCTGTCTGTCTTTTTGGTGAGCACACATGCCCTATAGCCCCCCCCCCAAGGGAGCCCACAGTCCCTATAGCCCCCCCCCCAAAAAAAAAAAACACTCACCAAAAAAAAGAAAGAATGAGATTATTGTGGGGACCAAGAGATAATGTAATGGTTGTCACTGGGCTCCCATGTAGTTGACCACAGTTTTGAGTTTCTGACTTGGCAGCTTAAAACTCACAGTAGGCACATGGGTGTGCATGCCCAAAATCTCTAGAGGAAGATGGACAAGAAGGGATTTCAGCATAGCTGTCCTCCCTGGGGGAGTGATATCTGGCTTTCTCTTTCTCTTTCTTTTTCCCTGGTTGAGCACACATGCCCTATAGCAAAAATCTCTCTCTCAAAAAATGGATTATTGTAGTAAACATTTATTTCACATACTTTTAACAGTTATACACATTATCGTTCTCATTAAAAATGCCATTTTAATTAAAGTCATATTCTGAGTTTATAGCCTCTAGAGATTTCAGAGCAGAAATTTAAAATTTAGATGATCTCTTTAAGATCACATTTATTATTTTCTGGATATTAAAGTAATATGTTTTTATTGAAGGAAATGTGAATTTATGAAAGCATACAGAACAAAATAAATATTGAAGGTGATCTCAAAACCCAGAGATTTTCACTGAAAATGATTTATTTATTTTCATTGCAGTGTTTATCTCCTTGTGGTCTTTTTCCTTTTTCTGAATGTACATGTTACCATTATACACAAAGTACCATGGTTTATTTCATTTGAAAATTAATATATATTGTTGTGAATATTTACCCATGTTATGAAAACACAATTTTAAAATATTTAATTTTATTTATATTATTTTTAAAATTTTTTATAAGGAATGTGTGCTTACCAGAGGGAGAGAGAAAGAAAGAAAGAGAAAGCAAAAGCAAGCTGCCAGGTCTGGTACTTGAACTGTGATTGGTCATGTGGGTGTTCAGCATTTGAGCTACCACACCAGCTGCTGACCCCGAAAACACAATTTTTTAGCAGCAGTGTAAGACCATATTTCAAATATGTTAAGCTAGTCTCCTGCTTTTGTGTTAGGTTCTTTTTACTTTGATGATATTATTTATATAAGTGTAATAAATATCTTTTCATATAAATGTTTTGATTATAGCTTTGATTGTTCCTGAGTAGAACTGCTGGGTCAGAATATGAAAATCTATTTCATTGAATTTTTCCCCCCTCCTGAATATTTGCTAATTTTATACAAGAAAAACTACTTCATTTTAATTTGTATTTGACGAATAGAATGAACTTTTTATGCATTGTGAGTACTTAAATTTTATTTTTGAGTTTAAGTGTTTGATGTGAGTTACGGAGCTCTGACTTTCCCCAATTAGTTGATCAGTTAGTTCTTTGTATTTCAGAATATACTGAGGGGCCAGACAGTGGCACAGCCGTAAAAACACGACACTCTGCGAGGCTGTCCCACATGGGGATGGTTCACTCTTCAAGTCCCCAGACCACCCTGATTATGCCCAGCAAACACCTGCCTATGATCCAGTGATGGCTGAAGTACAGGGATGAATTTCCCTTTGTTGGGGGTGCTGTCTCTGTCTCTGTTGCTTATGAAAGAAATGAATAAACCTTCAGACATATAAATCAATTTTTGGAAGAACATAGATTTCACAACATTGAGTTTTCCAACCATTACCTTGGTATATGTCTCTATGTTTTTTATGCCTTTCAGGGAAGTTTTTTTCTTCTTTTCTTTTTTTATTTTTTCTTTTCTTCTTGTATTATTGTATTGGATACATTTTGTTTGAGAGCCCGAAGGTTTAAAATTAAACAGTATTAGACCAGTGACAATAGCAGGTATCCTTGTCTTTTTCTTTACTTTTATGGGGCTATCTCTAGTGTATTATTCACTCCTCAGTTTGACTAACTGTTTATTTGAGATAAGTATTTTCAATCACAATATGAAAATACATTGTTATTTCTGATTTTTGTTCAGTCCTTTAGATGGGAAATGAATACTGTAATTTATCAAGGCTTTTATTTAAAGAATTATTTATTTAATTCCATTTGTTATTATTATTTTTTAATTTGACCAGACAGAGAGAGTGAGAAAGGGAAAGCGAGAAAGCAAGCTGGATCTGGGACTCGAACTGTGGTTGGCCACGTGGGAATCCAGCATCCCCAACCACCACGCCACCTGCTAGCTCAAATTTACCAAGTCTTTTTGACATTTATAATAAGCATTTAGCTTTTACTTATGATGAGTTATTAATAGATTTTATTATAGAGTATAATCAGATAACTTACAGAGCACATTTCATAGCTGCTTTGGTAG